GTTTACAGTTAGATTCAGCGCTGAGACCAAGCCCCCTTTATCCCAGCTTCTGCGATGTCTGTTACAAAACCCAGCAGCCCTCCTGTTGTTCAGTGTCATGGGTGCTAATGAGGGGACATTGGCGGCTTCCGCAGAACCCGCACCTGGCCCCTCTGAAGCTTCAGAGATCGGCAATTTGCCATCATTGCCTGTATTGGCACCTGGCTCAGCAACAGGCAGAAAGCCCTCCTGACTCACCCCCGTGAGTTCCTCGCTTACGAGACCAACTCCGCCAGGACTTGGCGACCAGGCGACGTGCAGCTCGTTTGCGGAGCAGACGGTCGGTTAGCCCCGAGTTTTGACAGATGCTTGGCTGCTGGTGCCACTACGCTAACTGGAAACAGCAGCAGAGGGCCATTTAGCTTCAGGCTCTAGGCTGGCTTCTTTGCGGAAGCAAACTCGTCAACTCCGTGACGCCTTCCATCCACTCCACCTCCCGTTTTCCAGACTTTTTCCTGCTCCTCTCCCGCAGCTTCTGACTCTGGCTTGAACGACCTCGCTCCCGGCTTGGGCTTTGGACTTTCTCTCTCGGCTCCGGCTCCGCTCCTTTCGGCTTAAGACCCCGGACTGAACTTGGACTCCCCTCTGCCTGCACCCCAGCCCGTGACATTCAACTAACCCGGACTGAACTTGGACTCCCCTCTGCCTGCACCCCAGCCCTTGACATTCAACTAGATTCGTGTTTCCAGGAGCACCTGAGAGACCAACCAGATTTGGGGAGGGGGTCTTTTGAGAGTCAAAGCTCCCTTCATTCCTTTGTATCTGACGAAGTGGGCCTTGACTCTCGAATCCGGCTCTTCCACTTCAGGCCAACACAGCTACCCCTCTGAAGCTATCCTGTTGTTCAATGCTCTTGACACTAAAATTTTAGGAACCAAATTTGACACCAGATGGCAAACAAGAGGCAAAGGATTTTCCCTTACACAGTTATTTACGTAAGTCCAATGGCCACACTGCCTACACAACTGAATGACAGGGTCTACTTAAAGTTGCATCCTTTAACGACCAATATTCTAAATTCAGTTCCCTGAAATAGCTATGTGTAAGCAGAAAGAACAGCCACATTCCGCAGGCAACTATGGAATTCCGTAAAACTAGAAAGAAGAGTTGGTTTTTATACCTTACTTTTTTCCTTTGGGAGTCTCAGAGCAGCTTACGATCGCCTTTCCCTTCCTCTCCCCACAACAAGCACCTTGTGACCAATGCTCCCTCTAAGAGCCAGTTTGGTGTGGTGGTTAAGCGCGTGGACTCTAATCTGGGAGAACCGTGTTTGATTCCCCCAGCAGCAAGTGTCACTCTGAAAGATCAAGCTCCTTACCTTGAAGCCAAAGTAATTGTAGGAGAAATCCCGATCGTAAATGATAGCCAAGAGCTCTTAGCCCCACCTACCTCCCAGGGTGTCTGTTGTGGGGAAGGGAAGGGAAAGGAGTTTGTAAGCCGCTCTGAGACTCCAAGTGAAGGGCGGGGTATAAATCTAAGCTCTTCTTCTTCTTCTAAGCTGTGGAGTCTCGTGAGCAAAAATTCTAACTTTGTGTGCTTCTGGCATTAAAGCTGTGAGCGAGCGATTTGCCTGCTGCATAAATTAGTTTGCTCTGGAGCCCCATCCTTCCTGAGCTAAGACAAAAATGTGTGAGCTGGAGGTTAAAAAAACTGTAAGCTAGCTCACACTGACTCAGCTTGGAGGGAACACTGTTTGTGAGGCAGGTGGGGCTGAGAGAGTTCAGAGAGAACCGTGACTGGCCCCAGGGCACCCAGCAGACTTCAGGGGGAGGAGCAGGGAATGGAATCAAACCCGGGGCTCCATATTAGGGTCTGCCGCTCTTCACCACTACCCCACACTGGCCCTCAAGGTGACAAGAATCTGTTTTCAAGAGGCCAGCTATCCCAAACACACAGAACAGCCAGCTTGTTTTTACTGGTTGCTGTCACAGTCACGTGTGCGTGTGTGTTAAGTGACGTCAAGTAACTTCTGACATATGGCAACCCTGTGAATGGACTTATACCCTGCCCTTCACTACCCGAAGGAGTCCCAGAGGGGCTCACAATCTCCTCTCCCTTCCCCTCCCCACAACAGACACACACCCCCTGTGAGGGAGGTGGGGCTGAGAGAGCTCTGGCAGAAACGGCTCTTTTTCAAGGACGGCTCTTATCAGAACTAGGGCTTGCCCAAGGTCATCCAGCCAGATGCAAGTGGAGGAGGAGTGGGGAATCAAACCCGCTTCTCCCAGATTAGAGTCCACGCACTTAAGCACAACACCAAACAGGCATTGGCTAGGTGTTCTGGGAGCAGGGGCAGCTACTATAGAATGAGATGGCATCCACATATGTGTATGCTAAAGACAATCATGCCCAGGAAGATCAAAAGCTGCAGGGGAAGAGGAAGACCCAATGAAGGAAGCCACAGCCGCCTTTAGTTTGCATGATCTGAGCAAGGCTGTCAATGAGAGGACGTTGTGGAGGACGTTAAGTCTCTTCTTCTTCTTCTCCTCCTGAGCTAGCACTATCCTGTAAGGACTCTGCTTCTCACAGGCTGCTCCCTTTTTTGCAAAAGGTGTCCAAAAGATCCTGCTTCCATCGTCCCTCCCTCAAACCCCTACGTACGTCTTTGTTGGCCAATACGATGTCTAGCGTTTCCTTGGAGATCATGGGAGAATGCTTGCCGTTACTGGGGTTCACGTAGTTGTACAGATCTTCCATCACCTCTGGAAAGGAAGTGTAGAAAAGATGAAGAGTGACAAGGAGGGCAGACGTCAAACTGTGGAAACAAAGAGGTTTTGCCTCACCTGCAGTGTTCCCTCTAAGCTGAGTCCGTGCGAGCTAGCTCACAGTTTCTTAACCTCCGGCTCACACATTCTTGTCTTAGCTCAGGATGGAGGGCTCCAGAGCAGATTAATTTATGCCTTAGCCAAATCGCTCACTCACAACTTTAATGTCAGTAGCTCACAAAGTAGAATTTTTGCTCACAAGACTCCGCAGCTTAGAGGGACCCTGCTCACCTCAGCTGGTTACACCTATTTGAAATGGCCCTTATATGCATGATTGCATGGAAGCCCTTTTCTTACCATCGGTTTTAGCTCTTGTTAAACGCAACGCACAGTTCTGAAGACTCTGAAGCCGCAAAAGGTAACCCCTTAGCTGACTCAGCTGCTAGAGCAGCTACATTATCTCCTCCTCCGGCTGCCGCCATTTATCCACTTTAATGTCTACCACAGCATGTGCCACAGCCTCTACCCTTCAGCTTCCCCAAAACTGTCAGGTTACCTGGGGCGGCCATACCAGACCCGTCCCTCCCGGTAGGTAAAAAGAGGAGAGATCTGGCTCCCACTCACCGCTGAACACTTTCTTCGTTTCTTTGTGCAAGTTGGAGACTGCAATTCTCGCCGCCAGGATGGCATAGTCCGGGTACTTGGTGGTCAGCGTTGCTGCCGTCTCCGCGGCCAGGGTGTCCAGCTCCACGGTGGTGACCCCGCTGTAGAGACCCTGGATCACTTTCATGGTGATCTGAGCCTGGTCAGAACAAAGCAAGAGTTACTGATCCCTGCATGACACAAACAATTTGCCCTGTAAGAGGATTTCTGGAGCTTATCAGTTCTGCAGACGTTTTTAGCACATGCAAAGTGTCCGAGAAAGGGCTTCTTGGACATGGTGCTGAAACTCTGGAACTCCCTCCCCACGGAGATATTACTACTACTACTACTACTACTAGTAGTAGTAGTAGTAGTAGTAGTAGTAGTAGTAGTATTCTATTTCTGAGTCGCTCAACCACGTAAGCGGGCTCTGGGTTATTTACAGCTTTAAAACAGATAATATACAATCAACACGATAAAATTATTATGTTTATTTGGATGCATATCCCACCCTCCCCTTGACGGGCTCAGGTTTCTGAGTCGCTCAACCACGTAAGCGGGCTCTGGGTTATTTACAGCATTAAAACAGATAATATACAATCAACATGATAACATTATTATGTTTATTTGGATTCATATCCCACCCTCCCCTTGACGGGCTCAGGGCGGGTTCCAACAATATAAATACAATACAATCAATATAAAACTCAATGCAATTAAAACATACAAAACATAGTAAAGGTAAAGGTCTCCCTTGCTCGAAAGCCAGTCGAGTCTGACTCTAGGGTTGCGGAGCTCATCTCCGTTTCAAAGCCGAAGAGCCAGCGCTGTCCAAAGATGTTTCCGTGGTCATGTGGCCGGCATGACTAAACACCAAGGCGCACGGAACGCTGTTACCTTCCCACCGAAGTGGTACCTGTTTATCTACTTGCAATTTCTTGCTTTCGAACTGCTAGGTTGGCAGGAGCTGGAACTAGAGACGGGGGCTCACTCCGTCATGCGGCACACTCGGGTCTTGAATACAACATACAACTCTACTAAAAGCCAGCTATACTGGGAATAATTTCCCAGAGGTCTGATTAAAGTTAGGGTCTCCAACCCCGGCTGTAAGTGGGGGCCAACCCAAACTATAAGTGAGGGGCTGTCAGCTAGCTGCCATAGAAGATTGGGAAGCTGTAGGGCCCCCCCCCCTCTCACCGGGCATCTGCGTATGCCCTTTCTTTCCTGTGTACAGTCTTCTTCCATCCATTCCTGTCTGTAAACGCTAGGCAACGCTTATCTGCAAGATTAACAGGTGTGTGGGGAGAGCTGCTTTGCTAACTGTATAATGAACTGCACCGTGTGAAGCTGTAATTGTTTAGGTTTCGGGACCGTTGCTTCTCAGGCCTTTGAGCGCGCAATCTGCAGCCCGGCCGCTCGGCGGGAATGGAGATTATTGCTCCTGGTTCTGTTTGAATGTATTACATTATTCCTTGCCCACCCTGACCCAGGCATTCTGGACAGTGAACTTGTTCCTGCTCTATCATAGCTTTAACAAAATACTACTTTGTTTAAACGTGTATTGGATTTATCGCTGTGAGGGGGACCGGACAGGGGCTGGCCCAATGGTAGGTGGGGGCTGGCCCAAGGAGGGGGACGCCCCACTGCCTCAACCAACAGCCCGACGGAAGAGCTCCGTCTTGCAGGCCCCGCGGAATTGTAAGAGATCCCCCGCAGGGCCCTGGTCTCACTCGGGAGCTCGTTCCACCAGGCAGGGGCCGAAAAAGCCCTGGCCCTGGCTGATTCAAGTCAATGCAGTAATAAAACAACCAATCCAGATGGCGATCGACCATTTTCTTTGCTGGCTGCCGTGGGGATGCGGGGCCAAGTAAAGAAAGGAGGGTGCCAGTTTTAACTGTGGCTGTCTTCAACCAAAAGCCTGGCGGAACATCTCTCTGCCTTACAGGCCCCGCGGAATGGCATCAGATCTCGCGGGGGGGCCCAATGTTACTCGGCAGAGAGTTCGGCCAGGACGGGGCCAGGAGGACTGAAAAGGCCCCGGCCCTGATGGAGGACAGCCGGACCTCCCTAGGGCCAGGGATCACCTCTAAGTCGTTATCAGCTGATCTCAGCGCTCTTATGGGGACGCGCTGGAGAAGGCGGTCCTGAACAGTGTTCCCTCTAACCTGAGTTAGTGTGAGCCAGGTCAGTTTTTTAGCCTCCGGCTCACAGATCTTTGTCTGAGCTCAGGAAGGATGGCTCCAGAGCAAACCAATTTATGTAGAAGCCAAATGGCTCGCTCACAAATTCAATGTCAGTAGCTCACAAAGTGGAATTTTTGCTCAGACTCCACAGCTTAGAGGGAGCATTGGTCCTGAAGTTCTCTCTCCCTCTACCTTTTCTTCAGCCAGCCAGCGAAGACTTTTTTGTTTTGTTTGGGCATTCATTCAGCCACTCACTGTCATTGGCCCTCCTCCCTGGTTTTACGTGTTTTGTTTAATTGTTTTAAATAGGATATACAGGCAGAGAAATGCTTTAAACAGACAACAAGTATTAAGAGCCTTCCAATCTCGTTTCTCAGAGCAGCCGCAAAGCGTTTTTGGGGGGTTTTTTTAATTCCCACTATGCAGATGGACATTTCAGTTAGGCTGAAGAGGGACTTGAACAGAAGTTCCCGGAGCCAAGCTCTGAATGCAAAATCCTACGCTGTCGTCGAACGGAAGGCACGGCAGTCCGTTTCCTGATATTTCACTAGCTAGAAGGCTAAAGCCCTTTCTCCTGTGGAGTGAAAACCCTGCAAAGCTTTCTACTTTCAGCTGGTCACTCCGAAGGAGGTCAAAGAAATATCGAAGCGATGAACACTCATGAACATATGAAGCTGCCGTCTCCTGAATCAAGCTCAGTATTGCCTACTCAGACTGGCAGCAGCTCTCCAGGGTCTCGGGCAGAAGAGGTCTGTCACGTCACCTACTGCCTGGCCTCTCTCAATGGCCATGCCGAGGACTGAACCTGGATCCGCATCCCGAGCAGAGGTCTACACCACTGAGCCACAGCCCCTCTCAACTAATGAGTCGTAAGGTGAGAAACAGATGGGCTTGCTTGACGTAACCTAACGCTGTTTAATCTGAACCATCCACTCTCGCACTTTACTTGAACCCTGTTCCAGCACTTCAGGGTAATTAATTTTTAATTGTTGTGGTGTTTTATGAATGATTTTAATTGTATTTATATATGTATTTTTATGTAAGCCACCCTGAGCCTGCTTTGGCGGGGAGGGCGGGTATAAATCGAATAAGGTAAATAAATAAATGTGACGGCTCTGCAGTCAAGATGTATAATACAGTTGACCAAGTAACCAAGGCTCCCTCTAAGCTGCGGAGTCTTGTGAGCAAGCATTCTGAGCTCCTGGCATTAAAGTTGTGAGCAAACAATTTGGCTGCTGCACAAATTAGTTTGCTCTGGAGCCATCCTTTCTGAGCGAAGACAAAAATGTGTGAGCCGGAGGCTTAAAAAGACTGTGAGCTAGCTCACACTTAACTCAGCTTAGAGGGAACATTGCAAGTAATATATCCTGTAATGAATTCAGGTGGGGGGGGCATGCTGATCTGGAACAACGAAGTTGGAGTCCAGTGGCACCTTTAAGACCAACAGAGTTTAATTCTGGGTATAAGCTGTGCATCCACATGAAAGCTTATACCCAGAATTAAACTTCATTGGTCTTAAAGGTCCCATGGGACTCAAACTACATCCTATAACGTACATGTCGTCAGCACGGTGACTGAAAAACTCCCAGTCTTTCCAACAAGCAAAGACCTTCCTTTTACAGGTAAAAACAGATGTTCTGATACCTGAAGGTCTGCCACATCCCACTTCAACTGTCTTTATTGACAGTTCACCTGGGACCACCAGGGCTCTTCCAGGAGTTGCACTTAGATGTTAATTGGGCAGCTTCACCATTTCAGAAAACTTTTGTTTTTAAGGAAAACTCTAAATCTAAAGAAAGGGCCATCATGCCAGCTGTTTCTGAGTTGTGTTGCCTTTGAAAAACAGCAAAGTGTACTAGTTGTTGCTTGGTTCTGAGCAGCTGAATTGTATTGGACTGCATTGTTTATTATGTCACAAATTGCCTTGAGTGCTCCAGGAGACCTGATCTAAGCCAACGGCAATGGGACCAGGCTGCTGTACAGATCAGAATAACGCAAGCCCCGTGGATTCTCTGCGCCAAAAAGAACTTCAGATTTGAAAAATTACTCTGGAGACAAATGCTACCTTGTCATTAAGGAAGAACAAGCTCACCTCTATCGGCTTCTGCCAGCAAGTCTGCCCTATCCTCAATAATGGTTACAGGGCCTCTTCCCTGTTGTGGGTGTTTTTATTGAATTATTTTATATATGCTTCATTTTAAATGTTGTTTTAACATTGAAACACTTTAACGTTTGCTGCCTTGGGGATCCTATTTATCTGGATTTTTAAAAAATAAATAAAAATCAAATAAATAAAACTTTCCCGGCACCCTAAATGCTTATGTGTTATAATTTATGTAAATTCCTTCCAAACTATAACGATTCTTGAAGGAGAACGAGAAGAGCAGCACCAGAGAAACTTACAGGGTCCACAAAGTCCAAGTTGAGACCGTAGCAGAGTTTCTGGATCCGGGAGGTGATCTTGTCAAACATGACCCGCTCATGGCGGCCATCTGCCAAAGACAGAGAGAGAGAGAAACATCAAATATTTCTAGGAAAATATGTTGTGGAAAGCTTTCACGGACGGAGTTCATTAGCTGCTGTAGATTTT